CTGGCCTGTTTCTTAGGTTTCTTTGAAATGTCAATTACAAATTACTCTTGTCTATTCACCAAGGCAAAACCCACCCCTGTGTACCAGGCAGCAGTTGGTCAGCTTGCTTCTACTTACTCTGTTTGAAAATAATAAACTTGAGGTTCTTTTAAAGTAGTATAATTTAATTCAAGCTTTTCACTATCTAGACAGTTGGTCCACCCTATAGTGTGCACGAGGATTTACTAATGACTAGCATACTACAATTGAGAATGAGAGAGTGCCTGCTGCCTTCACTAACTTAGTGGTAGGACGAGATAATAGGAAAATCTACAAAGAAAACTGCTCTGGAGCCCTGACTTCGGTTTCTTTATCTTACTGAAATGCTTTTCGTGTTACAATTCAGTACGCAAATACTGAAACAAAAATAATATTTATCCTTATAATGTGCAATAGTCTGTAATGTTCTATTTATTTTTATTTATCAATTTATTTATTTTAGTTTCTTGTCATAGAGCACATGCACTCACCAGAGAGAGACAGAGAGAGAGAGAGAAAGTGAGAAATCACCACCCCTTTTCCCCCTCAGGGAGGATGGCCACACAATCCCTTCTCCTCCATTCTCCTTCCAGGGTTTTGGGCATACATACACTCATGCCCAGAGTAATTTTCTTTTCTTTTCTTTTTTAATGTTTTTTATCATTATTTTATTTGACCGAAGAGAGACAGAGAAAGGGGGGGAACATGAGAAAGCAAACCACCAGGTCCAGGACTCAAACTGTGGTTGGCCATGTGGGAGTCCAGCATCTCAACCACCATGCCACCATGCCACCTGCCAGCCCCATCCCAGAGTAATTTTCAAGCCACGAGGTCCAATACCCAACCAAACCACCATCAGCCATGTGGGAGTCCTGCACCTTAATCCTATGCCATTTGCTGGCCTCTGTCTTTTTTAAATAAATGCTAGTCATAACCCACTAAATTGATTTCACAATCTATTAAAGGGTATCTGTTTTGAAAATACCCCCCTAGCATATGGTAGGAGATAGCATTCTATGAGAAAGAATGGGGGAAGAGCTGTAGCTGTGATCTGGTTTGCTTAGTAGTTTCTAACTTGGTGCAGTGCCTGCAGGAACTCCCTTGCCCTGGGATAGAGCAGGCTAGTCCATTTACACAAGAGTTCTCGCTCCCTGCTAGCCCTTTCTGAAACCAGATTCTATCCCCATTCTCCTTCTCTCACACCTTTGACCATCACCCTCAGTGTCCTAGTGCCTACTAGGCCTACTAGTCCTGGACTGGTGGCTTAAAATGCATGCCAGGCACTGGGATCAGCAGTTAGCATAGTTGGCTCTGTTGCTGGACTCCCATGTAGTCGACCGCAGTTCGAGTCCTGGACCTGGTGTCTTAAACTCACTCTGGGCGCATGTGCGTGCGTGCCCAAGATCCTGAGAAGAGAATGGAGGAGAAGGGATTGTGGCATGGCCATCTCCCCTGGGGGGTGATTTCTCGCTTTCTGTCTCTCTGTCTCCTCTGTCTGTCTTTCTGGCAAGCGCACATACCCTATAGCAAAACCTCTCAAAAACGCATGCCAGGTGTATGTGTGTGCATGCCCAAAATCCTGAGAAGAAAATGGAGAAGGGATTGTAGCGTGGCCATTCTCCCGGAGGGTGACTTCTCACTTTCTGTGTCTCTGTATCTCTCTGTCTCTCCAGCGAGCATACACACCCTATAACAATATCTGTTAAAAAAAAAAAAAACTGTCCCAAGATGCAAACAACAAGAAAAGAATGAGAAGAGAAGCTTTTAATAAAAAGAGATTATTTTAATAGACTAGCACACCTGGGAGACTTGGCGGCTATCAAGTTGTCAGAGGACAACCTTACTGAGAATTGAATTAAGTCTTACTTTTACTATGGGGTCGTATCATGAATATTTAAGGTCTGTCACTGTAGCTGGCTTTTGTTTTCAGTGGTTGTTGCTGGGCCTGTGTACTTCTCATCAGGTAAAGGGGACATAATTCCCTGGTTGGAAAAAGTCATACGCATGCCCAGCATGGACTTTGAAGATATGAGCATGCACATAGGAATGATTTGGTCCATATCAGTCTAGTGTTGCTAGTGAGAGGCCAAACATCTGGAGAAAAGCCTGTGTGTGCATGCATAGCTGCAGAAGGAAAGATAGTTATATATCCAGGTCCTTTAATGTCAGTTTAAGCAATAAAAGTTAGATAACCTTGCCTCTCTTGGTGCCAGAAGGTCTAGCTGCAACCCATAGTAAAAGTGATTGAGTCAGCAGATGTCCTTCTTAGTATTATCTTGGGATTTCCTGCTTATACCTATCTCCTCCCATAAAAACCACTACCCAATCCTGGAGAGCAGATACTGGCTCAGGGTTTGATTCCACCCTGACCCCATAGATCCCAGCTCCTCCACACCCTAACTCTTCAAACACTCCCTATGTACAGATGATTACTGGTTTGATCCCTGGTAAGAGCATGGTCTGACTTAGGATTTTTCAACTTTGTGATATTGCAAAAGCCACATGCCTTCAGTAGCAACCATACCACAAGTACCCACACACTCTTCAATTTATCATGGGGTTATGACATCCTGACAAGTACTCATAAAATCATTGTTTTACATTTTTAGTATTCAATAAATTACATGAGATATTCAGTACTTTATTGTAAGATACACTTTGTGTTAAATGATTTTGTCCAACTGTAGGCTTATATAAATATTCTAAACATGAAGGAAGGTTAAGCTGTGCTGCCCTATGTTCTGTACTTTAAATTATTAAGTGCATTTTTTAAATTGCCAGAGAGCATGTGCACCGACCAGAGACAGAGAGGTGGAGAGAGGAGGAGAGGGAGAAAGTGCCCTTCCAGTGGGGCGTAGTCACACAGTAATCCCTTCTCCTTCATTTCTCCAACCAGTCTAAGTTTGGGACACACAAGCACACATGACTGATGGGCATGGTTTTTGAGCTGTTGGGGCTAGAATTTGGACCATGAGCTCTGGCTCACTTAACTAGTGGCTAGAGTCACCTCTAAATGCATTTCTATTTAGGGTATTTCCAAGTTTCAATGGGTTTGATCAGAATGTCATAACCCCGTGGTAAATTGAAGAGTGTATGTACTCTCATTTTTCATATCATTTCAATGAAATCTTCCTCATATCCAGTCTCTGTTAAGGATTGTGAGACTTGTAGGTGGACACTGATTGTCACAGAGTCATTCTGATACTTAACTTCATGGATGGGTCACAGAGAATAGGCAATTCCAAGAATCCTTTGCCTCCCTTCAAGCAACCCAGCCACTCAAACAGGCTTCAACTATAAAAACCAAAGGGGCCAGCTATGGTGGCCCAAGTAGTAGGGTGCCACTGTGCAAGACTGGGGCCACATAGGAGGTTCTGATATTCAACCAACCTGAATAGGCTGGGAGCTATGGCACACATCTGTTTTCCTAGTTAACTAGAAGGTTGGCACTGAGGAGTCCAACATTGGGATACCATCCAAAAAATGCCACCACCACCCCCATTAAAACAACAACAAAACACACACACAACACACACACACACACACACCAGAGAAGGCTTACTTTATCCCAGCCAACAAGGAAGGACTAAAGAGGGAATTATTGTGCAGTCCTGGGGCCTCACCCTGAGAGTTCACACCAGGCCCTGCACAAAAGTAACATCTAACCATAACTAGTGTTTGCAGCACCAGTTTCATGAATAATATCCCACGTCACCATTTCAGCACCTCATACATCAATCTCATCCCAACACACCTGGCCATGCTTTTGCTCCTCATCCTACTATCTCCTTGCATTATCCCTTTGATTTTGTGCTTTCTCTCTTTGAATTTGGATATCCTCCCAGTTATGTTTAGACTCTATTTTTGGTTTGATGTACTCACAGATTATCCTGGTTAGCCTCCTCATTTTTATAGGATTTGCAATCCCCTCATCTTCAACTCAACCCTGATTCCTTCATTATAGGCAGCCATCTTTCATCTCCCATTCCCTATCTCTCATTCTTCTAGCCCTGGATGAGACCAGGAAAAGTAGTAGTCTTTGATAAAGATGACTCTTTGAGTAAAAGTGTTATTAGTTTATACTCTAGATCAACAAGCAAAACATTTTGGGCATGTGTTCTTACTTTGTTACTTGGAAAATAGCCATCATCCTCCTTTTCCAATAGACCCCAGTGAAGTTGTACCTGGGACATCATTTATGACTATATGGGAAGTGGTGTTTAACATACCTTGACATCAATATCTTCTTTCTTCAGAGAATAATGATTAAGATCATAGCAATTAAGAACCCAACCATTTGAAGCCAGATGACTGGGGTCTAAATCTTGCTCTTTGACTTACTGCTATCCTTTCAACTTAGTTCTTTTGTTTCTGTTTTGGAGGGGAAGGGGTATTGCTATGTTTGAATGTGTGCCCCAAAAATCCATGTGTTAGAAACTTACTCCTATTGCAAGTACTGAGAGGTGGGACCTTTCAGAGGGCTCTGCCTTCATGATGGCTATAGGAGTGGGCTCCTGATAAAGGATGACATTCAGCCCCTTTCTCTTTCTGTTTCAAGTCTCATTTTCCCTTTTGCCTTCTGCCATGGGATGATGCAGCAAGAAGATCCTCACCAAATGCCAGTACTGTGCTCTTGAATTTCCCAAATCTCCAGAACCATGAGCCAAATAAACTTGTTTTATAAATTACCCAGTCTGTAGTATTCTGTTATAGCAGCAGAAAATGAACTAAGACAGGTATTCCTTAGATAAGCAAGATAATTTAAGCATCTTGATCATATCAAGCTGAAAATACCAGAATTATTCACTAAGTTGTGGATAGTGGCCTCTGCCCTGAATCCTCTGTCTCTGTTTCCATAGCTCATCCTTTAACATACATTAATCCCTTTGTATATTGATTCAACTGCTTTATTTGCCATGCTCTCTGGCATTGTGCTAGATATGGAGCTACAAAAATGACAAATCGTGGACTCTATCTTTAAGGGAGGATAAATATATAAATACGTAAGAGACAGGGATTTGCAAACAAATACATAAATCAAAATGTTAAAGGTACTGTAAGAGAGAACTTTGGCCTCTATTGTACATTGACCAAATAGAGTTGACCTTTTTGCAACAGTCTTCAATAAAGTCTTTCTTACCATTTTAAGAAGTGTCAGGATAATTTTTTTTCTTTAACACCTGAAATGCCCTTTGGACAATAACTGAGGACAGCCTGTCACTCAACTGCCCTTCCAGGTCATTCTGCTCCCCCTCCTTGTCCTATTCAAAGAATCAGGTCTTATTCCAGGCCTTTGAGCTCCTCTTCTTACCAGGCTCTTGCTGATAAGTATAGTAATATAGCTCTGGTAGATTCACCTGCAAATGTCATGGTAGAGAAGATGGGCCAATTCTATTCCAACCAACTTCACCTAGTTCATTCAGTCAGATCATTAAAACATATAAATACATTCAAATGGTTTCTCTCAACATAAATAGTGTATTTTCAAAGAGCTTCCTTATTTGTATTACAGACATAAACAAAATACATACACTCAAGGCAATAAAATACGTCTTGTGTTCTTTTCAATTAAAAAATAATCATAGTGGATACAGATCTTTGATATTCTGATGGTACCATAAACAAATTTGCTGACCTTTTCTTGAACAAAGAATTGACTGAAGTTTTACTTCTTGGGCTCCAAGTATGTTTTTGTTGTTAGTAAGTAGACTTATTGTAAAAGTCTCCTCACCTGCAGCTCTGGTAATTTTTGTGTCTTATTCACCTCTTTCACTTGGTTTCAAGGAAGGAATTTTGAATTTTTACAAAATTCAAAATTTACTGAATTTTGTGTTAATGTCAGGTATAGCATTTTCCTCTTTAGCATCTCCCTTTATTGAAGTTATTACTGAAGTGTTTTGTAGGAAATGACGTGTCAACCATTCATTGGTTCTCATGGCTTTGCAGTGCAGGCAGGGCCTTTCCCTGATTTGGTAACTTCCCAGAATCCTTTGTCTCTGAGCTATCTTTCTCCTTTTGATACTGGCTGGTGATGGGTGATGTTCGCTTTCACTCTCCTTCCACGAGGAGTCTCCTGAGATAGATTCTTCACTGTCACATTCAGTAGTATCACTGTCATGTTGGAGCTGATTCATCTGGTCTAATTGAGAATAGCGCTTGGCTCGTCTTTGCTCAAGATAGGCATTGACCAAAGCCACTTCTGAGTCAGTTACAGGGGTAAGTTGGTTCTGCTTTGGTTTCTTCATTGTTTGTGAAGAGTCCCAAGCAACATCTTTGCTCTGTCGCTTATAGGAAGTTTCTTTGCTTGCTAATAACCAACAAGACAAATAGACAAGTTAGGCACATGTTTGGTTACTATAACTTCACATTTATAAGAAAACACATGGCACACATGGGCTCATTCTTTTTTTTTTTTTTTTTTAGAGATTTTCACTGTAGGGCGTGTGCGCTCGCCAGACAGACAGAGAGAGACATAGAGACAGAAAGCGAGAAATCACCCCCCAGGGGGGATGGTCACGCTGCAATCCCTTCTCCTCCATTCTCCTCTCGGGATCTTGGGCACGCATGCACACGCACCCGGCGTGAGTTTTAAGCCACCGGGTCTGGGACACGAACCGCGGTCGACTACATGGGAGTCCAGCGACATAGCCATTACGCTAACTGCTGGTTCCCACATGGGCTCATTCTTAATGGCCAGTCGTCAAGTCACCACTTTTCTCCAGTTATTTGCACGTGCAGGCAGCTGACCACATTTTCCAATGCCATACCCCATATCTCCTACAGACCAGAGAGGTCAGAGATACGTGTGAAGTTTTTAAAGTTTTGAGGACCCTGAATATAAAATCAAAGGGAAAGATCTACAAAATTTTTCAGAGAAGGACCCTTTTTCTCTTTTCCTTGAAGACTTAAAGACTCAAGGGTATATATAAATGTGATTTGTGTAAGAGGAACTAAAAAGGGTCTTTTCTTTATGCAGTAGTGTGTTGGAGTTGGAGCTTATCAGCCCAGAAGAGTTGATAAACTTTCAGGAATGTTTTTTGTGAGATGGTTAAGCACACTCATTATCAAAAATTAAACAAATTGGGAACCAGCAGTTAGCGTAATGGCTATGTCGCTGGATTCCCAGGTAGTCGACCGCGGTTCGTGTCCCGGACCCGGTGGCTTAAAACTCACGCCGGGCGCGTGTGCGTGCGTGCCCAAGATCCCGAGAGGAGAATGGAGGAGAAGGGATTGCGGCATGACCATCCCCCCTGGGGGGTGATTTCTCGCTTTCTGTCTCTATGTCTCTTTCTGTCTGTCTGGCGAGCGCACGCGCCCTACAGTGAAAATCTCTCCAAAAAAAAAAAAATTAAACAAATTTACAATTAAATCAATTTACTAAAAATGAAGGTAATAAGTATTCAAAACCCACAACTTCCTAATGATCTTAAAGATCTTTTTATATGGTCCTGAAGTTATTAATGTCTTTGTATCTGGATGGTGAAATACTACCTAAGAGTGTGCTACTGGATATCTCTTTCAAACTCCATGTTCAGTGACATCATGGTAGTAATGCGAAATCAGCTTTGGTGGGAATATTTTCACTGTGAAAGTCAGCAAACACTAAAGATCAGAGCTTGATATATGGTTTTATTGATTGCCTAAGTTTAAGAAAGTGATGGAGAGGGACCAGCAGGAGTCCCGTACCTGGTGGCTTGCTTTTCCACTTTCTCTCTCTCTGGTGAGTGTGAGTGCCCAACAGCAAACTTAAAATAAAAATAATAATAAATAAAAGCAAATAAATCAGAAAAAAAGGAAAAGAAAGTGATGGAGGGAGACAGAAGGTGGCATACAGGTTAAGGCATCTGGATCCCACATGCCAGCTGCGTAGTTTGAGTCCCAGACCCAGTGGTTTGAGAATCATGCCAGGTGTGTGTACATGCATGCCCAAGAATGGAAGAGAAGGGACTGTAGTGTGGCCATCCCCCATGGGGGGGGGTGATTTCTCACTCTCTTTCTCTCTCGCTCTCTGATGTGTGGGACATACCCAATAACAGAACTTTTTAAAAAAGTAATGGAGAACATGTTACTAATGTAAATTCATTTCAGTGTCATGTTTATGGCCACTACAATGTGAATAGCTCAAAAATGAGAAAAATACTCTTCCAGTATTCTAAAACCCTTATCTGTTTCAGCAAAGAAGTCATTCACATCATGAATGACCAGGTTAAGTTCCAACACACATCCGTTTTTCTTTCATCTCACTCCTTAACTTAGAGAAAAATAACATGCAGGCTGGAACAATACTTATTCATTGATTTCAGTTGGCTAAGGATGATCATTCCTTACAAAAATGACTCCACCATGGACTCTACCTTTAAAGGTGGGTAAATAATACACATAGGCAATAGAGACTTGCAAACAAATACATTCATCAAAATGTTAACAGTACTGAGATAGAGAACTTTGACCTCATCGTACATTGAGCAGATAGAGTTGACCTATTTTACAAGTCTTCAATAAAGTCTTTGTTACCATTTTAACAAGTGTCAGAATGATTTTTTTTAACACTTGCTATGCCTTTGGACAATGACCAAAGCTGTGGCAGCTTTGGAGAGCTATGGACAGCTGTGGACAGCTGTGGCACATCTGCCCTTCCAGGGAAGATCAAGGGGAGTATATTATGAGGATCAGTGGTATATGAAATTGACCATAAAGATTACTGTAGATTATCTTTTTTTTAAAGCTCTTTTGAAAAATGTTATTTACTTCTTCCATGAGTAGGATCCTCACACAGCAATCCACTCCCAGCTTCAGCCAGCCTGGATCTTGGGCACACATGTGCCTCTCATGAACACAGAGGTTCTGGGATGTGAACCTAGTACCTTCCCATATGAGTCCAGTTGCACTACTACTGTGCCACCCTCTGGCCGCAAATTGAATTACTTGCACATTGTGTGATATTCTTTATATCATTAAGGCTTTTAATAAACATATATATATATATATATATATACACACACATACATACATACATACACAGTGTTTTGGAAAGCCAGTTGTTAAACTTTTACTAGCACACTACTGCTTAAAGGTTTCCCCCTCCCCAGGGGACATGTACTCACCAGAGAGAGAGACAGACAGAGACAGTGAGAGGAAAAGTGAGAAATCATCCCCCATGGGGGATAGCCACACCACAATCCTTTCTTCTCCATTTTCTCTCAGGATCCTGGGCATGAAAGCACACACGCCAATGTGATTTTCAAGCTACTGGGTCTGGGACTCAAACTGTGGTCAGCCATGTCGGAGTCCAGCACCTTAATCACCACACCACCTGCTGGTCCCCACTTAAAGGTTATTTAAAAAGGATGTATTATGGCTCATAATCATATGATAGCATTAGCAATGAAGGTACATGAATGGCCAGTTATGTGAAGGGGGAGTGCTGAGGAATGAAAAGAGATTGAGCTCTACCTACCAGCAACATATGGCTCCTAGCAGCTCTGCTAAAGCAGCTATGCTGTGTGACACTAGGAAGTAGAAACGCAAGCAGCTCACCCAATGGGCCTTTACTGTGCAGAGGCCTCTTGCAACACTCTTGGTTGTTCACCTGTGCTGTTTGCCCATATTTCTCTCATCACAGTCCAATACCAAGTATGCAGTGGCTCTCACCTTTACTTACTGAAGTGCTTGTCCTATTGTCTTCATCCTTTTTACTTTCAGACATCTGTTTCAGAAATATAGATTAGTGAGAGTAATCACACTTCTTCACTCATATTTACTGTATAAGAAACATTCACCCAAGTTCCTTTGACAATGTCTAATTTTAAACATTCAGTGCAGTTAATTAAGTACTTACTAAGTTCCTATTATAATAATCCTACTTCTGTTGGCCATTAAGAAGACCATACTATCCAGCCAGCAGAGGTCGTGGTGGTTAAGGTGTCAGACTCCACATAGCTAACTCCACAGTTCAAGTCCTAGACCCAGCAGCTTGAAAAACATGCCAGGCATGTATGAATGCATGCCCCAAATCTCGAGAGGAGAATGGAGAAGGGATTCCTGTGTGGCATTTCTCCCCTACCTCTCTCTCTGTCTTGTTCTACCCCTCTCTGGCATGTGCACAAGCCCTACAACAAAACCTAAAACAACAACAAAAACATACTAAGCAGAATCGGCCAAAATATTTTGAACCAAGCAAAATGAAACAGAGACTTGAGAGAAAATAATACTGATAAGGAGTTACAGGTTATAAAGTTTTCCTATACCTATGTACTTTACAGACATATTTAAAAACAGTGTTGTGGGGCCATTAGATGGTGTGAAGGTTAAAGTGGCTGGATCCCACACGGTCAACTTCTTGGCTCAAGTTCTAGACATGGTGTCTTTAAAAATACGCTAGGTATATTTGAAGATATATGCATGCATGCCCAGAATTCCGAGAAGAGAATGAGGGAGAAGGGATTACAACATGGCCATCCCCATACTCCAGGAAGGTGATTTCTCACTTTCCCTCTCTCTCTGTCTCTCTTTGACTCTCTCCAGCAAGAGCATGTGCCTTAAAGCAATTTTTTAAAAATTTTTGTTAATACTCAGATTGGCTTAAAATTAGTTTTTAAAGGCTATTTAATCAGGTCACGTTATTGAGATTCTTTAAGTAAAATGTTTGATAAAAGATATCTACACACAGATTTTTACCTGAATTCATAGACTTAAAAATCTCCTTAATCATTACTTCAGAGTTTCATCCAAAATGCAACCATAATATATTATATCTGTGAACATGGCAACCAGATGAATTAGTTTCTTTGAATTATTCCATTTTCAAATATTGTGCCCCATTCTCCATAAATACATTTGTCCCATTTTTCAGACACTGTCCCACTTTCTGATGCTGAAAATGGTTTTGCCAAAAGATACAAATAAGAAGCAAGCCTTTCAGAATATATCAAACTTTACAAATATTCATTAACATCTTTGACATAGTTCTTCCTCTGAGAACCATTCACCAGGAAATAACTACTGAAAAAGAGAAAACTTTGTGCATAAGAATATTCATCACAGTGTAATTAAAATATAATATAAATAGAATATAATATAAATTTAATATTCAAAAGTAGACAATGTTAAGCGAATCGTAGTACCATCATATAACACATAATTTTAAAAATTTTATAATATAATTATGTCATAAAGTTAGGAAATAAGTATGTTCTAATATTGGGTAAAAAATCAAAATGCAGGACCAGCCAGTGGTGTGGTGGTTAAGATGACTGAATCCCACATGACTGACCTCACAGTTAGGGTCCCAGACTCAAAGGTTTGAAAACACACCATGGGAACACCAGATGACCACAGTTTTAGTCCCAGACCTAGCAGCTTAAAAATCACACTAGGAAAGAAAAAAAAAAATCACACTAGGTACATGTGCATGTGTGCTCAAAATCCCAAGAGAAGAATGGAGGAGAAGGGATTGCATCATGGCCATTTTCCCTGGGAGGTGATTTCTCACATTCTATCTCTCTGTCTCTGTCTCTCCAGCAAGCACACGGGTCCTATAGCAAAATATCTCTCTCTAGAAAAAAGAAAAGGGGACCAGCAGTTGGTGTAATGGCTACGTCGCTGGACTCCCAGGTAGTAGACCATGGTTCGAGTCCATGGTCTCAAATGAGAGTGAGTTAAACCCGGTGGCTTAAACTCATGCCGGGCGCATGTGCGTGCATGCCCAAGATCCCAAGAGGAGAATGGAGAAGGGATTGTGGTGTGGCTATCCCCCCCCCCGGGGGGGGGATTTCTAGCTTTCTATCTCTCTGTCTTTCTGGTGAGGGCATGCGCCCTATAGCAAAAATCCAAAAAAAAAAAAAGAAAAGAAAAGAAAAATCATGCCAGGCACTTGTACATGTATGCCAAAAATTCCAAGAGAAGGGTGAAAGAGAAGAAACTGTGGCATGACCATCCTTCCTAAGGGTTGCTTTCTTACCACCACCACCCCACTCCATGCAGTCAGTCATCTGGGATCCAGCCACTTTAACTACCATACCACTGGTCATGCTCCATTCCTTCCTTAATATCCAGTCCCTACAAGGGAAGACATGTGTTTCTTTGCATTTTGGGTTACAGCATTCATTTTCTGAAAACCTTAAGAATGGAGTCACCTTTCAAGATACCTCTTTTAAAAATTCCTTTGGGAGGGGCTTAAATATTTTAAATTTAGTATGTATTGAGAAGATTATTAAAAGATTACAAGTTTAGAAGCCAGCAGGCGGCATAGTGATTAAGGTTCTGGACTCCCAAATGGAGTTTGAACCTCAGACCCAATGGTTTGAAAATCACACTAGGCACATATGCATGCCCAAAATCCAGAGTGGAGAAAGGAGGAGAAGGAGTTGCAGTGTGGCCATCCCCTCTAGGGGTGATTTCTCACTTTCTCTCTCTCTCTCTGGCTCTCTTTGGTTCTCCAGCAAGTGCATGCATCCTATAGCAAAAAATCTCTAAAGAAAAAAGATTATAAGTGTATATACCTAAAGATGAACCAGCAAGTATTACGGTGAAGTGGTGGTTAAGGCACTGGATCCCATAGAACCAACTCTGTGGTTTGAGTCCTGGACCTGGAGGCCTGAAAAACATGGTGGATGATGTGCATAAATGTTCAAAATTCTGAGAGGCAAAAGGAAGAGAAGAGATTATGGCATGGTCATCCCCTCCTAGGGATGATTTCTCATTTTCCCTTTGTCTCTCTCCAGCAAATATACATATATACATGCCCTGTGGCAAAAATCTAAAAAAAAAGATTAACATTAGTTGTTTATTTCTACATAATCTGGAGTGGTTTTTATTTCAATCTGTCCACTTTTTTTTTTTTTAATAATTTCTGCATTTCCTACAGTGAGTATTTTTGTAACAAAGCAGGTAAGGTATTTAAGAACTCCTTATTAGTTTATATCATTCCCACCCAAAGCCTCCATATTTGATGTCAAATCAAAATATAACCACAAAATCAAAAGAAAGATTTTTGCATTAAGCTTAAGTGGAATCATATGAAATGTGGTTATGAAAAGACTTTTATTAACCCTCTTTGTGTGTGACTTAGTGAACAGCAGTAGTGTCTGCCCTGCGGGGCAGGGTACAAAATGTGGGCTAAGGTTCTGTCTTTCTGCCATGAATCAACTCTGTGATCTTACCAAGACACTTAACACCTCCTAACCTCAGTTTCCACATATGTAAAGTAAGGAGTTTGGAGAAGAAAAATATCAGCACTAGCAATCTGAATAAATAATAAATAAACATATAAGCTAAATATAGTATTTATAGTCTCTGAAGCAGAAAGGTAAATGCATCTGAAAAAGTGGCAAATCCAGAGGAAATCAGCATGCTTCATGGTGGAAGATAATGACCAACACATTTCCATTACGCTTTTACCATTACTTCAAGGTTTGTAAATAAAGGCTCATAGTTTAGCAGAGAAAAATGAAGAAGTTCAAAGTGAAGGAAAATTCCATCCTCCTTGACTAACTCTCATATGGTTCTCAGATTTCAAATCTGGGACCCTTCAGAAGAAGCAGTTCGGCAAGTGAAAGATGAAACCTCTAAGATAATTAAGGTTTTAATCAGCACTGAATAGATTTAATTCAACATTTCAAACTATGCTTTGAAGCAATCAAATAACATGGCAGGAAATCTGGGTCTGGTCCCCCTCTGTTGCTAATCACTTGTGTGACATTGGACAAGTCACTTAGTTTCCTTGGGCCTTTTCAATGAAAAAAGTGGGGGTGGGGCAATGATGGCTCACATGCCTGTGAGCAGAGGTTGGACCACATGCTCTCTTGAGATCCTCAGAGCTCAGGCTCTGTGACTCCAAAGAGCTGATGCAAGCAAGGGAGCAGAGGACTAGCTTAGACCTCTTAAATGGTCTTCATGATGAAATTGCCAGTGATCAATTTCAATTTTTTGTTAATTTTCTAAAGTAGCTTTTCTTGCCAGGCCAGACAAGTTCAATATACTTAGCTAGGGAGTCTAAGACACACATAGAAGCTATCACTATCTAAATCTCCTTTTGGCAAAGTATTTACCTTAAGAAGCATTTAGACTTTAGATAAAACTTCTTGGCCAAGAGGTTGGGGGGGGGGGGGGAAGTGTTTTTGATTAGGGGGGTGTAAGTGTTTTTGATTATGATAATGGAATCCAGCTGGCATAGACATAACAAACCTCTTCTCGATCCAGCGCTGATATAGCACTAAGTCTAGCTGCCTATTGCCAGTCCAAGGTTCTAGCTAAAATGCTAAATAATGTGGTTTGATTAATCATCACCCTAGTATTAATGACCAGCAAGGACTCAATGTCAGCTATTTAAAGAACTTGGTTACTCATAATACGTTGGGACATCACAGTCCTGGTAAAGTAGGCTATCTCATTCCTAAGAGAATGTCATTTTCTTCCACTAGTAGGTGGTCAAGTGGGGACTTCTGCTCTGATAGTTCTTCATCTTAGTCTATATAGAAAATATATTGCCTCATTTGAAAACCCCCAAAGCCTCCAACATAGATCCCATCAATATGATAACTTCTGTGTCTTTCATTAGAATTATGTGCATAAAAATAATTCAGAGGGCTAGCCAGTGGTGTGGTGGTTAAGGCACTGGATCCCACATGGCGGAATGTGCAGTATGAATCCCAGACCTGGCAGCTGGGCAACAGAACAGGCATGTGTGCGTGCATGCTCAAAATCCAGAGAGGAGAATGGAGAAGAGTTTGTTACATAGCTATTCCCACTGGGGGGGGGGGGGGGGGGGGGGGCCTCCTCTCTCTCTCTCTCTCTCTCTCTCTCTGGTGAATGCACCATCTAGCAAAAAATAAAAAAAGAAAAAGAAAAAACAAAAAGAATTTGGAGGTCATTAACAAATAAGAAGTTTATGAGAGTATTATTTAATGTATGAACAAACAGCCTAAATGCTCCAAAACTGCAGGATTTTTATGATGCAACCACCAAATAGACAAATTATACTGTTATCAAAAGTGCTACTGATTGAATATAGTTTAGGGAAGCATTTACAATATATTATTAAGTTAAAAAAGCAAAATATGAAAATACATACAGTATAATGCTATCCATGTAGAACCAATGATAGAAAAGTAGAGAGACATATTGCATATTGGAGTAGAGAAAAAGAAATATATAAAAGGGTATACTCCAAGATGTTAATGGTGGTTATCTGTGGAAAACAGGGTAACAGCAGTTTTTTTTTTTGGAGAGATTTTCACTGTAGGGCGCGTGCGCTCGCCAGACAGACAGAAAGAGACAGAGAGACAGAAAGCGAGAAATCACCCCCCAGGGGGGATGGGCACGCCGCAATCCCTTCTCCTCCATTCTCCTCTCGGGATCTTGGGCACGCACGCACACGCGCCCGGCGTGAGTTTTAAGCCACCGGGTCCGGGACACGAACTGCGGTCGACTACGTGGGAGTCCAGCGACATAGCCATTACGCTAACTGCTGGTTCCCAACAGCAGTTTTTTAAATTATTATTTAACTTTACTTACTTATTTACTTATTTTTTTTAAATTTAACCAGAGAGGGACAAAGTGAGAGCAAGAGAGAGTGAGAGAAAGAGAGAGAAAGTAAAAAAGGAAGCCACCAGGCCCAGGTCTGGAACCATGGTCAGCCATGTGGGAGTCCAGCGCCCTTAACCACCAGTCCACCTGCTGGCCCCAGTAGTTTTAAATTTTCTTCGTCATTTCTTTATTTTTTTTCTTTTTCAATTTTGCTATAGGGTATGTACACGCATTCGAGAGAGCCAGAGAGAGAGAGAAAGCAAGAAAGCAACTCAGAGGGAGGATAGCCATGCCACAATCACCTCTCCCTCACTCTCCTCCTAGGACTCGCAGCATGGATACACATATGCCTGGTGTGTCTTCCAACCCTCCAGTCCAGGACTCAGCCTGCAGTTGGATATGTGAGATCCAGTTGCCCAGACCACCACACCACCGGCTGATCCCATCATCCTCTTTTATATTCTTGAATTCTCTAAAATAAGATTGCATTATTTTAAGCTACCAGGTCTGGGACGCGAACCGCGGTCAACTACATGGGAGTCCAGCAACATAGCCATTATGCTAACTGCTGGTCCCTAGATTGCATTATTTTAAAACTAAAAAACAAAACTTTTAAAATGTCGTTATATCACAGCAAAGTGAATTTATTTTATGGAAAATCCCCTAGCATATAGCAAATATATTATTTTAAATGAAAAACAATATCCTACCCAGAGAGCAGCCCGAGAGAAGAACATCAGGACCAATATAACGACAAAATACCAAAGCAGGAAGTTCCCTATCGTTCCACAAGAGTCATCTTTCCGGCATTCATAATCCTGATTTGGAATGCTAAAACTTAAAGGTATGGGAGGAGGCTCCACCTCCCAAAATAAGGACAAAAGGTCTCCCATGATGGCTTCTTGCTTAGAAAATAAAACATGCTCAAAGAGACGGAAGTGTCTGGGAAGGACTTCCCTCAATGGTATATGACAACTTCCTTGGCAACCTATTATGACATAGACTTAAGCAACAGGAACTGACAAATGCTTCTTGGATTTCTAGCTTTGAGGAAGATTTATCTAAATTATTTCTACAAAAATTTATGATGAGGCCAGCAGGTGGCACAGTGGTTAAGCCGCTGGACTCCCACAAAGCTGACTGGGATTTAAGTCTCAGATCTGGTGGCTTGCTTTCTCACTTTCCCTCACTCTCTGGTGAGCACAGGTGTCCTATAGCAAACTTAAATAATAATAACAAATTAAATACAGACTACCAAAGAGAGTAATGTTTACATCACCAGGCTCCCACGTAGTTGACTGTGGTTCGAGTCCCGGAACTGCCCAGCAGCTTAAAACTCACACTAGGCGTGTGTGCAAAATCCCAAAAGGAGAATGGAGGAGACAGGACTGAGGTGTGACTATCCCCCCCGGGGGGAGGGGCGGTGATTTCTCACTTTCTGTCTCTCTGGTGAGCGCATGCACCCTATAGCAAAAATCTCTCTAAAAAATAAATATTTTTTTAAGAATTATTTTATTTTATTTATTCATTCATTTATTTTTTAATTTGACCAGAGGGAGACAGAGAGAGAGAGAGAGAAAGT